TTCGCTTTAGTTTTCTTTTGATGAAGAAAAATGTAAAATTTGTCTTTCTGGTGAGTCAGCAACTAAATTCATTTTAATGACTAACTTTGAAGTCTTGTAACTTATTTCTTAAAAATCCTAGAATATTGTTCTGCAAATAATTACAAAGAGAATTTAATTGCAAATAATTCACAAAAAGAAAAAATGAAAATTTCCTCCTAATTTTCCCCTGACAAAGAAAAATGTAAAATTTTCCATTCCCGCACGCAATTTACCGAGATTTCGAACTTTTACACGGAAATATTGATTAAAACAAGCATCTGCACCTGTTTTTCAAGATGTATGAAAGGAAAGTTACTCCATGACGTCACAATTAATATAATAATCACATATTGCAACTGCAATATCATTTTATTTCCACCTATTTATATGTCTCCAATCGTATCGGAATTCTTGAATTGTGCAACTGCTCGCGTTTACTAACTCAAACAATGTGTCATTACTTATTAGGTTAATACTATTTCGTGACTTAATTAGGAAAATGTTTAATTGCGACAATTGAGGCACAATTAAATTGTATTCATTTTTTGTTCCCGCCGTGTCGCAACTTCTCGTTTCTTGATTTCTTGATTTCAATTCACAAGAGACTTGTTAACCGGTTTACAACATTTTCCGTCGTTGGTTTCACAGCAATAACTTTTAAACTAAAACTAATAAAGACATAAACAAAAATTTTAGTATAAATAATACCTAATATAACTAGCTATAATTTTATAAAGAAAAAATTTAATAACATTAATTATTAACGCGTAAATAATGAAAAAATGATGAAAAACAACGCTAGACATTGTTGGACTTATGATTTTGTTTACTCTCAACTTGATATAAGCGAATTAACTTACCTTGATTGTAAGTTGATTCGTAATGCGTTTAATCACTAATTAATGCATTAATGAATTATTTAAACATTGCATTGAGATTCTAGGAATGTTTATCTCATGTTTGACCTCTGATCAAGTTAAAACTTGAGAAAACTACAAAATAGTCTTAAATTGTGTGAAATTTTAATGTAGGCATCCGTGCACACTCAATAATATTTAATTAATAATAAAATTTGTTTTCTTAGTTTTTTAGGAGAAAAAACGTTAAATTTGTCTTTAGGTTAAGTAGAAATACCGATTGATTTTATTGACTAACTTTGCAGTACTGTAACTTATTTATTTAAAATCGTAAAATATTTTTGCAAACATAATCTGAAAGAGAATTTAATTGTGAATAACTCACAAAAAAGAAAAAAGTAAAATTTGCATTTAGTTTTCTTTTTACAAACAAAAATATAAAATTTGTCTTGTTATGTTAGTCAGAAATTAAATTCATTTAAATGACTAACTTTGCAGTCTTGTAATTTAATCAATTAAAGTCGTAGAATATTGTTTTATACATAATTAGAAAGAGAATTTAATTATGAATAACTCACAGAAAGAAAAAATAGAATTTTCCACATAGTTCTCTGTTTACAAAGAAAAATGTAAAACTTGACTTTTTATGTTAGTCAGAAATTAAATTCATTTTAATGACAAACTTTGCAGTCTTGTAACTTAATTATTTAAAATCGTACAATATTGATTCAAACATCATCAGAAAGAGAATTTAATTGCAAATAGTTCACAAAAAGAAAAAATCAAAAATCTCTTGTAATTCTCGTTTGACAAAAGAAAATGTAAATTTATCAGTTAATCTCAAATTTAACCTCAAAAAAAGAAAACCTCAACAAAACTAACCTAAAACCATTTATAATTTCACTATAGGCATCCCATCAACACTCAACTACATCCCCCTCTATGAAGGCGTCCCGGAATCACCACCACTCATCCCCTACCCAAGCTTCGAAGCAAACGAAGTAGCAAACTGCGAAAATGGCTTCACAACAGCCTACCGCCTCAAAGCCGATGAATGCGACCGATTACGGGTATTAGACACCGGTACCTTCGGCATAGGCAACACAACAACCAACCCATGCCCATACGCCATCAACGTATTCGATCTACACACCGACACACGAATCAGACGGTAAATAACCTACAATACAACAATTCTAACCTCAAAATTAATTTTAAAACATCCCACAGATATGAATTGCGTAAGGAAGACACAAACGCCAACACATTCATCGCAAATATCGCGATAGACATCGGCAAATCATGTGAAGACACCTTCGCATACATGAGCGACGAGTTAGGTTATGGCCTAATAGCCTACAGCTGGGAACAAAACAAATCCTGGCGGTTCGCACACAGTTTCTTCATGCCAGATCCCCTCAAAGGTGACTTCAACATCGGAGGGTTGAATTTCCAATGGGGTGAAGAGGGTATCTTCGGCATGTCACTCACACGCATTCAACAAGATGGCTACCGACTCATGCACTTCTCCCCACTTGCGAGTGATCGCGAATTCCAAGTCTCCACGAGAATATTACGTGATTCCACTAAAGTAGAGTCGAGTTATCACGATTTTACACCGTTGAAAGAACGTGGTCCTTTGGCACATACAACTTCAAGAGTAATGGATGATTCAGGTGTGCAATTCTTTAATTTAATCGATCGTAATGGCGTCGGATGCTGGAATTCGGATAAACCTTATTCTCCGGAGAATTTAGCGATGGTGGATCGTGATGATTTGGCGTTGAGTTTCCCGGCGGATGTGAAAATCGATCGCGAGAAGAACGTCTGGGTGATTTCGGATAAGATGCCCAACTTTTTGATTGATAAGTTGAATTATAACGAGATTAACTTTAGGATTTTCTTCGCGCCTATGGAGGTATTGATTAAGGATACTGTGTGTGAGATTAAACCCGTGCAGGAGTTGAATGTGTTGAATCCGTTTGATTATCAATTGTATTCGAAGAAGCGGTTTTATTATTGAGTGCTGATTGTAGATTGCGATCAGAAAGAAGAAATTTTTGATTTAATTGTTTATAATGCACGAATTGTCGATGGTTTTCTTTTGTATTTTGTAAATTTTTATTTTTTCAAATATATTTTTGTATTTATTCATTTTAAATTGGGTTGGATTGAGATTTTTAGGTTAATTTGATGTGATTAACATCAGTTATTGAGTGTTGTGTTGACGGAAATGCGTTTTACTCTCACCGGAAGTGAAGAATTTGAATTAAACACCGAAATTTGACCTGAATATTCACGAAAGCATTGGTTTAGTTGGATGAAAAGGTTAATAAACTGATTTTTAGGTTAAATATAACCTAAGTTCAAGAATTTTGACATTTGACATTGAAAACGTTATTTTTATTGATAAAAATCAATAAAACTAATTAATATCAACCAAAATCAGTAGTTCTATCACCAGAATAACAGGTTTTGATAGTTATTTTACTCGAAAACTAATAAAAATGCATTTTTTATGTTTTTAGGTTAATTTACGTTGATTAATAGCAAAAATATCAACAAAAATGTGTTTTACTCTCACTAGAAGCTAAAAAACACTAAAAGTTAACCTAAATATTCACCAAATCATTAGTTTTATTAAATAAAATGGAAATTAAACTGATTTTGATGTTAAATATAACCTTACTTAAAATTTTTGACATTTGACATTGAAAATTACTCATTTTATGAAAACTTACGAAACAGGAAGATAAATTCAACAAATTCTTAGAAACTGCAATCCTGCTGGTGAATAATTGATAAGCACACAAAGGTAGCCACAAAATGGCCGCCGTTGGACGAATGCCAACTGATAATCCCACAAACCACAAGAGAGTTGAGTCTACCTCAGTTTTCTCATGTTCTAATACGTTTTTTTCGTACATTTTGAAGTTAAATATAACCTAACTTCATGAATATTGACATTTGACATTGAAAACGTTATTTTTAAGGTCAAAAATCAATAAAAATGATTAATGTATACTAAATTTACTGGTTTTATAACCAGAATAACTGGTTTTGATAAATATTTAACTTAAAAACGAATAAAAACCTCATTTAAAGAGATTTTAAAGTTAATTTTGTATGTGTAGCAGCAAAAATGTCAACAAAGATGCGTTTTACTTTCACCGGAAGCTAAATACACCAAAATTTGACCTGAATATCACCAAAACAATTAAATTATTTGCACAAAAAAATTAATAAACTGATTTTTAGGTTAAATATAACCCTACTTCAAGAAATTTGACATTTGCCATTGAATATTACTTATTTTATGAAAACTTACAAAACAGGAAGATATAAATTCAACAAATTCTTTGAAACTGCAATCCTGCTGATGAATAATTGATAAGCACAAAAGGTAGCCACAAAATGGCCGCCGTTGGACGAATGGCCACTGATAATCCCACAAACCACAAGAAAATTGAGTCTACCTTAGCTTTTCATGTTCTAATACGTTTTTTCTTACATTTTGAGATTAAATTTAACATAACTTCAAGAATTTTGACATTTGACATTGAAAATATTGATTTTAAGGTCAAAAATCAATAAAATGATTAATGTATACTAAATTTACTGGTTTTATAACCAGAATAACAGGTTTCGATAAATATTTAACTTAAAAACTCATTTAAAAAGATTTTAAAGTTAATTTTGTATGTGTAGCAGCAGCAATGTCAACAAAGATGCGTTTTACTTTCACCGGAAGCTAAAAACACCGAAATTTGACCTGAATATCACCAAAAATTAATTAACTGATTTTAGGTAAATTATAACCTAAATAAAAGAAATATGACATTTGACATTGAAAATACTAATTTTTAATCTCAAAAAACAATAAAACCAATAAATATCCATCAAATTCATTAATTTTATCACCAAAACAAACAGGTTTGATGAATAAACTACTCAAAAACGCATTTAATTACTGTTTATACAAAAATTCAAGTGTTATTCACCTGTTTGAACAACATTTCAGTGCGATTTCTAAACATTCACACTCACACACGCACAGCGCACACAAACTGGAAATATTTTCCGGTTTCTGCGCCGATTTCAACTCGCAAATACCATAAATACCTTGTAAACAGCCGCGGCGAACGCCCGATTGCTCTCGCCAAAGTCGTAATCGTCTTCCTCGTGCGTGCCACTCGGTAACGCCGAAGACATCTGGCTTGAAATCGCCACCAGCACCACAATTACCATCAGCTTCATCATTGTCTCTATGTCTATGTCTCTATATGTGTATTCACTTGTATTTTACTGCTCGCACAATGTAACAACTCAACTAAACTTGGTCTTGGTTGGTCGAACGTCGAATAACAATTGATGAGTCGCACACGTCGCGCGATGAATTGTTTACGGTTTACTGCGCTCGCAAGAAAACCGGACTCGTCCGCGAAGTGGTCGCTTGTTTGTTCAGTTTTATATTCCATTTCGTTTCAACCGTGTGTGGAATGGTTGACCTTGTCGAGCGTGTGCACGGGCCCGCGGGCGAGCGCGAGCTCATCACCGGACAGATAACCGGAATTTAATACGTGATACACGCTAATCATCGCCGTTATCCGCGTTATTACCGAATTACCGAGTTGAAAACTTAGTTTTTCGTTAGCAATGCAGGTTTCTTTGTGAATTCTGGCTGTAATTGGATGATAAATGAGTCAGTTATCAATGGTTTGATAATGGGGAATACCAAATTTAGTTGTGTGAAGTTTAAAATGACGCCATTTTGTTATTTTTGGATGAATATTGCTTAAAAGTTGTAAGAAATCTAAAATTTAATAAAATTATTGATTATTTTTGGGTTTTTAAGCAAATATCTTGTAGAAAACATGAAATTTGTATCAAAATTTAAGGTTATGTTTGTAAACGACGCCATTTTGTTGTTTTGGTGTTGAATATTGTTTAAAACTTGTAAAAAACCTAAAATGTAATAAAATTATTGAATATTTTTTGGTTTTTAAGCTAATATCATGTAAAAAACATGAAATTTGTATCAAAATTTAAGGTTATGCTTGTTCTCGACGCCATTTTGTCACTTGGACGTTGAATATAGCTTAAAACTTTAGTAAAACTGAGAAACCAATAAAATTATTGATTATTTTGATGATTTTAAGCAAATATGTTGCAAAAACATGAAATTTGCATCAAAATGTAAGGTTATGCTTGTTCCCGACGCCATTTTATTATTTTGGCGTTGATTATAGCTTAAAACTTTGGTAAAACTGAAAAATTAATAAAAATATTGCTTATTTTGATGTTTTTAAGCAAATATCTGACAAAAAATCATGAAATTTGCAATAAATTGTAAGGTTATGCTTGTTCCCGACTTGTTCCCGACGGGTTAACACTTGTGTAAAACCTAAAAACTAATAAAATTATTGATTATTTCTTAGTTTTTAAGCAAATATCTTGCAGAAAACATGAAATTTGTATCAAAATTTAAGGTTATACTTGATTTTGACATTTTCTTAACCAAAAATGTACTGAATACATTTTATGCGTCTATTTCGAGTATAAAAATTCACAAAACATTTAAAAACAGTATTGCCACAAGAAAAACTAAAGCCATAACCACACAAATACTAAATAACCTCTATAACCTTAAAATAATAAAACAAATGTCAAATAAACCAGTAATTGTTAGTAAATGAACACTTTGGGGTGTTATTCCTTAACTAGTTGTCTTTGAGCCTCATTTGTTTGTACTCTTGTTTACATTTGTCATTTTAAGTCGATTATTTGGACAAAAATTAAAATACTACTGGGTACATCAATCTAAACAATTATTTACTGGTTTTATCTCTACCTGAATTCAAATTCTCGCCTTTGTTAGTCGGTACCAACTCATGTACGATGACATAACGCCCAATGCGTGCATCCGACACGAATTCAGTGTTGTAAATGCGATGAATAGGTTTGTACCGACTGAGAATATCAGATAAATGTGGTAATAATGCATCAAACGAGACAATGTGGCTTGGAAGAGGTTTGTTTGGCGGGTAATTATTGCGGATCCATGTACTGGGGTTTTTATAGAAGTAATCTGCTTCGTCTTGATAGTTGTCAACTTTTGAGAGGTTAGGAAGGCAGGTTAGGAAACGTACGGTTACGTTTGTATGTAAATGGCTGTAGAGAGGCGTTGAGTGACATGGCATTAAGAATAAAATGTTGGTATTCTCTGTATCTTTGGTGGCAATCTCACGTAGAGGTGTCATTACTTCCAAGTTACCTTTTTGATGCATTGTGCTGAAGTAAATCGCAGGGAGAGCGTTGCCGACGAGAAGCACGACTGCAACCAACCATACTAACCAACTGAAACATAATATAACCTCATATTCAATCATAACCTTAAATTTTCATGTAAAATTGAACATTTTGTTGTTTTTACGTACTCTGAAGCTTTCCTACTCCAAACTGTTAGGAAATCAGCCGAAATATGCAATGCAATCGGCAGGAGAGGCATCAAGAATCGAAATTCTTTGTGTCCCATAAAACTATCACAAAAATATATCAAAATATATGTCATTTAAAGTCTAAAGAATAAATTTTACCTGTATATAAATATAGCGAAAGTAAAACTCGCCAAAAGTGCAAGTTCATCAATAAAAACATGGCGATGTTTCAAAACTCGTACAGTTGCAATCAAAAAAGGCACAACTTGCACACCCAGAACTGCGACTAGTCCTTGGGATAAATACCAATGCCATGGATGTGAGCCGTAGAATTCACCAACGCCGTCTAAAACATTCGAAGCAAAGAACTCCCACCATGTGACGACAAAACTGCCGTGTAATATGCTGTCAAACGCAGTTGAACCGATCAAAATCAGCAATCTTGAAACAAAACATTTTTGAGGTTAAATATAACTTTAACTAAAAATTTGACATTTGACATTAAAAATTACTAAATTTATGAAAACTTACGAAACAGGTAGGTATAAATTCAACAAATTCTTTGAAACTGCAATCCGGCTGGTGAATAATTGATAAGCACACAAAGGTAGCCATAAAATGGCCGCCGTTGGACGAATGGCAACTGATAATCCCACAACCCACAAAAATGTTGAGTCTACTTCAGCCTTTTCATGTTCTAAAACAATTTTTGTGAGATTTAGTAACAAAAATGATTGATTTTATAAAAACTTACTCGAATACTTTTGAAATGGGAATGTTGACAGTGCGATTGTTGTTAGACAAGTCTCAAAAGTGTTCAAAAGTGTTCGTGAGGCTGTATAGAACCAAAACCATGAAATACCAATGCAGAACATTGACCATTTGGTCCTCCCACACCATTTCCAGAAGCAATAATCAGAGAAAGCACTTAAAGTTGCCTGTAGTACTCGTGGAACATAAATCTGAACAAAAAAACATTAAAAATCATCAAAATTTATTAAAAAATGAGTATAATTTAATATATACCAGCATTTCTGTTGAATCCACACCAATAAGTTGCAGTATCTTATACACAATAGCAATAATTCCTGGATGTAAATAACTGCGAATGCCTTTCGTCCATTCCCAGCTCAAATATCCATATCCATAGACAAATTTATGCGCAACTTCCAAGCTCTGCCAATACTCATCCGGTACAAACCATGTGCTCACAATAAACACGGATAATATTCTGATTAATAACAATATTCCGAAGGCTGCACGATCTTTCATTGTTGAATTTTCGTGTTTATCCAAGAAGTTTGAATGAAAAACTCGCTGAAAAGTGTGGAATTATACGTGTTCAGGTTAGTAGAACCACGTGAGATGCGTGGAAAATGTCGTGGAGTTATTTTTATCACTGGTTTCCAGTTTAATTTAAGAATACTGATGGGATAATCGAATGTATGGAGTTAAACAAGCTGAAATGTTTTGTGTGGCAAGTTGGAGGCTATGTTTACGCGTCGCTGAGTTGTCAAACAGTTACAGAGTGTTTCAAGAGTGTTTATGGTTGAATAAATATGAATTATGGGATAAATTTGTTGTTTTAAGATAAAATATGTATAATATAACATAGATAACATAATTTTGTAGGTTAAAATATAATTTTGAGTAAAAAACGTACGTTTTGGCTGCAAAAAACGCCATTTTGATGATTTTTTTAGGTTAAAATGGCACCGGGGACCAAAATTTATTAAAATTAATGGTAATATGTCTAAAACACTTCTTTAAAGTAATATCTAAGGTTAATTACTTGCTAAAACGTTAAAAATATGAGTTTTTTGTGTAAATATTCAAGTTTTTGATTGAATTGGCTCAAAATCAAACCAAAATCCACCAATGGGCATTCGCATAAATGTCCCTGGATCCACCAGCGGCGTCTCCGGCATTTTAGCATTGTTTTTCACGTGGAAATTACTCAAAATATGCACAAGTGCCATTTTTACTTGTAAAATACCAAAACGCATTCCTAAAATGTCAAAAAATGTCAAAAAACTGACAACGGTAACATTATTATTAATTCTAAACACATACCAACACAAAATCGTGGTCCTTCACCAAATGGTAAATAAGTAAAGTTCTTAATATTGCTTTTATTTTCTTTGGCGAATCTTTCCGGTATAAATTTATCAGGTTCAGGAAAATATTCCTCATTTCTATGTAGAGCCTCAACAGGGATACAAATCGGGTCCCCAGGGTGCACAATCACACCAGGAATGTTTCCTTTCGGTGATGGGAACTCATATGTCTTCGTACAAGTTTTAAACAAGACCATCATGGGTGTATCCAAACGCATTGTCTCTAAAAACACACAGAACATAACCTAATATAACCTAAAACACTCGGCAGGCATTTTAGGGTGTTTAACGTACCTGTAACAACACAATCAAGATAAGTCATGTCTAAAATAGCTTCGTATGTTATACAATCATTGTGTTTTTGTCTCACAAGTTGAATTTCTTCACGAATTTTGTTTTGTACTTCAGAATGTTTCGCAATTTCGAATAAATTGTAACAAATCACCACAGAACTTGTTTCTATACCGTCTCCGAAAAAGCTGGCAGCTTGCGCAGCGACATCTCTATCATCAAACTTGTATTCTTTGGATTTTTCTTTTAATTGACTTATTAAGTCGAGATAATCGTTACGGATGATGTTGTTTTCTTTTCTGTAGCGTATGGTTTGAGTAACGACATCTATGAGATAATTCTGGACGTATTTACTGAAGAAGCTATGAAAATAGGTTAAAAATTATATTTTTGAGGTTATGTTAATAAAATAACTTACCCAACTGATAGATATTTACCAAGTGCAGGCATCATAAACAAAATATTAAGTTTTAGTGATTGTGTGAAAGATGGCGTGCCGAAATCACGCGCAACATCAACAAATTCACTCTTTTCACTATCGAACGCCTGCGCAGTGAGTCCAAACGCACAGTTTGCGACGTTTTCCGTTGTGAATTGATGCGCGAGGTATTTACCGTCCACGCAATGATGGCGGCCATCTTGTACACGTTTATTCAAGTATTTTATGAGTTTCTGTGCGGTGTCATCCATCAAAGGAAAGACTAACTTTAACTAAAAGTTGTAAAATTTAAATTTATTTACATGAAAACGTAAAAAAATTGTTTGTTTACTTTTCCAGCTGTAAACATTGGACTTATCAATGCTTTAACGCTTTTCCAGTGATGCCCTTTTAAGGAAAACAAATTTTTCGCCATTAGGTAATCAGTATCTGCGGAAACTTCAACGACATTGTCTTCAAAGTGGTTGAAATCTTTCACCATAACCTGTCCGATTAGTTCCAAGTCGTTTATTATCAGAGTTGGTGTTAGACATTTGTAGAATCCAATGTATTTATAATCTTTGAACTTCCTGAAACATAAATTGAGGTTATGTTAGTAAATTGGAGGTTATATTAGTAAATTAGGAGTTAAATAGCTAATAAAGGAGGTTAGGTTAATAAATTTGAGGTTATAATGAAAAAAAATGCAGTAAAATTAATAATATTGAGGTTATGTTAATAAATTTCAGGTTATATTAGTAAAATTGAGGTTATTGTAGATAAATTTATGTGTATTAGTTCAAAATTGAGGTTAAAGTACAAAAATTGGTGTTATATTAGTAAATTTTAGGTTAAGTTAATAAAATTGAAGTTATATTAGTAAAATTAAGAGCTATTTAAGCTAAAAAAGGAGGTTAGGTTAATAAAATTGAGGTTATATTAAGATAAAATGAGGTAAAATGAACAATATTGAGGTTATGTTACTAAATTTGAGGTTAAATGCGTAAAATTGAGATTATTATAGAAAAATTTAAGTGTATTAGTCAAAAATTGAGGTTAAATTTAAAAAATTTAAAATTTTGAGGTTAATTTAAGTTACCTGCATGATTCAATCACTGGAACCATAAAATTTTTCGTCCCTATCAAAGTTTCCCACAGATTTCCAACCAAAAACGTCGGTTTTAAAGTAGGAATCTGCCTTTTCTTCCAATATGAATGACAGTGTTGCACATACAAGTAAAACGTAACAAAAACAACAAAAACCAACGTTAAAAAAATCATTTTTGTCTCTCTATAAGTTAAACTGTCTCTAAACTTGTATACGAGTAGAGATGAAATGAATCCGTTAAACAAACACGAATGATACTAAATATTATGTAAACTATTGCCACTCAAGGTCACTCCAATATTGATATGACTCCAAGGGTCCGCTCAAAATCACGCGCGCCAACAATACGGCAATTATCATCAATAAAATGCATTCCTTAATATTTTCTGATTTAATTAATTTCTGGTGTAAACAAACCGAAAATAATCTCAAAATCAGTCAGTCAGATTTTTCATGCCTTTGATAAGCATGTTAATATGACGATAATATGCGTAAAGGCGATGTTAAAAATTAATTATTCGATAAATATTCATCGGATGGAAATAAAATTGAGCTCAAGCTCTTTGCGAGGCATTTAATTTGACACACTTTTATGCCTTCAAGGCGCTGGAAATTAATTTAAATAATTAATTTGCATGTGGATTTTGATTTTTATGTTTAGTTACACTGCATTACGTGTATTGTGTGTTGCATATGTTATACTTGCTTTAACCCGCGGCTTTGCTCACGAATATCTAAAATAATGAAGTTGCTTCCGTACGCGTCTGTAGTCACAGATTTTATTTAAAAAATAATTTTTTTATTAAATAAAAAGTAACCTATAACCATTCGGGGACCAATAAGAATATGTGTACAAATTTTCATGATGATCGGTTAAGTAGTTTTTGCGTGAAAGTGTAACAAACATCAAGACTTTTGCATTTATAATATTAGTAGGGATTTTAATGTTTGAAGAGTTTTATAGGTAGCGTAACATGTAGATACCAATATTTACCTCAAAACAATGATTTTAACATGTTTTTTGTTAAATATTAAATTAATTATTTATTAATTAACTTTATTTTATACTTAATTAAACTTATAAAGCTTCAAATGGTGTGAAATTAATTTAAAAATTTAATTAACACGTAATTTTTGTATTTTATGTTTGGTTACCTTGTATTACGTGTATTGTGTGTTGCATATGTTATATTTGAGTGTTTGATTGATTTTATAGGTGGCGCAACATATAGATATCAATATTAAACTCAGAAAAGTGATTTTAACATGTTTTTCGCTAAATATTAAATTAATTATGTATTAATTAATTTTATTTTATGCTTAATTAAACTTATAAACCTTCACATGGCGTGAAATTAATTAAAATATTTAGTTAACACGTAATTTTTGGTTTTTATGTTTAGTTACCTTGTATTTCGTGTATTGTGTGTTGCATATGTTATATTAATGCATTTATTACTGATGTAACAAGTAACCCCCAAAAAAAGTATTTCTAACCTAAAATTTACAAAGTATTTCATTATTTATTCATTACTTGACCTAATTTCATACTTAATTAAATATATAAAATATAATTAGCATAAATTACAATATTTTCCAACTCTTATTCGCTGGATTATTAAATTTTCATGCTTGAATAACGTTTTTTATGAGTTTATTGACTGAATAAAAGTAATGAAAAGTAATTGCGACTTTTTGTTGCGTGAAATGAAACTTTTTTCGATTCTAAATAAAAATTTAATTGCAATGCAAAGAATTGAATTCGGGTAAAAAGGGTTAATCTAAATGTGTGTCATTATGCAGACGAATAATATTATCGTAAATTGTGTGTTGTGCGCGTGAATGCGACAGTGTTAGGTAAGTGAAAACACTTGTCGATTATTGCGCGTTAAAACAGTTTTCCCCTCGTGTTATACTGGCGCGCAAAGTGGAAAATGTGGAAAACCAAATAGAAAAGAGTTTCACTCGTGTTTTTCGTGTTTTCGCTTTGTTTTCATCAGGATTACGGAATACATTTTGTTTTTTGTGTTATTCACAGCAAAATATGCAGTTTTTTTTAGTTTTTTGCGTGTTTTTTTGATGAATTTAATGTTTGGAAGGATATTTGATAGGGATAAATATATTTTGCAGAATTGAGAGTAATATCCGGATCCTTTCAAAACATTATCCTTCGAATTCGAAGTGCTTTCAGCGCAAGTCACCTTCCTCCAACCGGCAAATGCCGGATTGGGAGGATGCAGGATGCGAAAGGCACATCAGTGTGTGCTGGCTCTTCGCGTCGTCCTGTTCGTTTACAACTCTACATCGGAAAACATTTTTTATCGCGTAAAATAAATAAATTTTAATGAAATTACAACAAAAACAAAACAAAAATTACAAAAAAAATGGAAATGGAAATTCATTCGAATGATTCTCTAATTAAAAAATATCCTATAGAATTTTTTACTTTTGAGAGTATTATTGATAACAATCGTAATAATAACGATGTGATTTTTGAAAGGAACAGTTTTTTGAATTCGTCAACGAATACGACGTTGAATGTGGTGATGCAAGTGGAATATCCTCGGTTTGATTCACGTGCGCTGGTCGTGGTGATTGTATATTGTTGTGTATTTGTGGTTGCCTGCATTGGTAATGTCACTGTCTTCGTCAATCTCTTCCGGTCACGTCGCCGGAAGTCTCGCATCAGTTTCCTTATTATTCATCTCACCGTCGCGGATCTTATTGTTACATTTATCATGATACCATTTGAAGTAAGTGAGAAAACCATTCTAACCTCAATTGACCCCTATTCATCTTCCAATTAACTTTTAAACATGGCAACTGATGAATTGGCGTGATTCATCACGTTCCTCTTTCATTTCCGTGTATTTTCCAAATAATTTGGTCAGACTAATGTTGATAGCCTTCACGTGGGGTTAAATTACTCCATTCAAGTTCATTAATCCTTCCGTTTTAATCCTATTAAAGGATAATGAAACCTCACACGCTTTTTGGTCCATCAAAGGAGTGTATTATTAAAATGTTTGTGTTTTTGATAAGATTGCATGGCGTATCACTGTGCAATGGTTGGGTGGCAACATCGCCTGCAAGATTCTCCTCTTTTTCCGTGCATTTGGTCTCTACCTGAGCAGCAACGTGTTGATCTGCATCTCCCTGGACCGTTACTTCGCTGTGGTTCATCCGTTAATGATGACCATCAAACGTAGTCGTGGCAAATGGATGCTCTACTGCGCTTGGTTGGCGTCAACTTTCTACGCCTCCCCACAAGTATGAATCAACACAATCACCTTTACTAATTACACCATCAGAAGTTGTGATGAATTGTATTCGTATTATATTCCCGACGTAGATTTTAATCTTCCACGTGGAAACTCATCCGCACTTCGCTAACTTCACGCAGTGTGTCTCCTTCGACTCGTTCGCATCGCCGCGCCATGAATTCCTCTACAATATTCTTTGTCTGACAATGATGTACTTCCTGCCGTTGACGATCATCATCGCTGCTTACGCGTCCATATTGTTTAAGATGTGGCGCAAAGCACGTGAATCCTCACAGGATGAAGTCAATAATACACAATCAACAAATTCTTCAGAAAAAAGAGGTAAATCAACAAATAAACATAACCTACAAACAACTTCAATCAGACACTCATAGATGGCGCCACATCACAACAACATAACCACAATATTAATATTAATATTAATATCCTCATAACATATATTTTCAATATAGCTTCAAATATCAACGAACCACAACACTCCAAATGTAACTCCAAATATTCAGCACCTTTAGTAAGACACAACAATTCCTCCGAGAGTAAAGACTCCGCAAGCAGACGCAGCCGCAGCACTCTCAAAGGTTAATAAATATTAAACACCGCTCGGAAACAAACAGAATAAACTACAACCCTGCTTTTATCTTTTTTATCTTCACACAGTTTCCAATATCAACGCGACAACACCCACTCCATCTCATGAAAAAATCCAAGTGCGAAAACACAGAGATCACGTTGTCCTGCGTCGATCTGATGCCAAGTGTATAGAACGAGCACGCCGCAGGACGCTCAAAATGACAGCTGTAATCGTGATTGTTTTTGTGGTTTGTTGGACACCATACGTAGTAATGGCATTGTGGTAAATTCACTCCCCACAAAAAAAAATAATCAACATATTTTCATTTAATTAACTTTTGATCCTTAAAAAATATTTTAACTAAAAATATTGTAATTAAAATTAACTTTTATCGTCTCAGGTACATGTTTGATCGTCAAAGTGCCCAAAAAGTCCCTCTGTGGCTCCAGGACGGATTGTTCATGATGGCGGTGTCAAATAGTTGCATGAATCCTTTGGTCTATGGCAGGTACACGGTGCGAACCGTTGTGGGTGGGAATCGGTGGCCAAACACCACGTCAAAGTGCTGTTTGTTTGGTTGCGCGGCACGCAAACGCAGCGTGATCATAATCGAACCCCGGATCAACAATAGACGAAAAATATACGGTGAGTATTAAGACTCGCCAAAGAAACAACAACAGAGTAATAATTCATTTTGTTAACCTGATTAATTTCCTCGCTGTGTAATAATTTTTTCCACTTTTGTTGTGTATCTTTGCTGCTCGTTGAGTTAAATTGAACTTTTTGTGTGTTTTTCGTTGTTTGTTTATATTTACACGCCGAGTTTCGGAGTTTTTTCGAGGTTTAAGTTGATTTTACATGTTTATAATGGTAATTAACATTAAATAATCCAAAAACCTTTTTTTCTTAAATTAAATAGAAAATGTTATTTTTAGTTAATCGGCCATTGTTATCAATGGTAAATTTTACTCCTGATGATAATAATGATGAAAAAGTTAAAAATTCACCAGAAATTAAAACGCAATTTATATCGTCGCGCAAAAGTCATATTGATGCAGCTGGGGTGGAGGCGCTTGGTGGAGGCGCCGGGATACACATGGATTATAAGCGTTCCACGCTGGCACGTTCCAAGTCGTCTTGGCAACACAAATTATACGGGGATCAGCAGCCGGATCAAGAATATAATTACGTGTGTGAATATGAATGGAGTCATGGAAATTGTATTCGGAAGAAAACGTAGGAATTAGTTATAAACTGAAATCTGATATAATTAACACTTTAATTAACAGGGTATTTTATGTAGAAATAAATGTTTTAAAGAAAATATGTGATTTGATTATTTTTAATTATTTTGTCTTCTAGGGAATAAAATAAGTTTTAATATTGAGTATTAATTATTCATAACCTCATTTTTTTTTCATTTTGAAAAGAGAATTTATTATAATGCGTTTATCATTGATGACTTAATGGAATTCTTGAATAATTCAACAGTTTTACTCTTGACGGTGAAGGAAATCTTTAAAAGCTTTTAAAATTTTAAGGAAATATTAATTATTTATTGATAATTATTATGAATAACTAGCTTTAACCCGCGGTTTCGCTCGCGTTGAATCCATCAAATAAATATTAGAAATCAATGAAGTTGCTTCCATACGCGTCTGTAGTCACAGAAGAAGTAACAATGAAGTAGAATGGCGGGAAGTTTAAAATGGTTGAAAGTATAGTCTATGGAAGTATAGTGTACAGTCTCCATAGTGTAGTCAATTGGATTTGATGTTGACGTAGCTGTCGGTAATACAGTGTGATAATACAGTGTGATGGTACTATAGTACTTAGGTTTGAGCTTCATTGCTGGAATGCTAGATGGCGTTAAAGAAGTCAAATAGCCAGATGCAGAGGTATTATTGGCTAAACAATTTCTTTATTTTATTTAAAATATAATTTTTTTATTAACTAAAAAGTTGCCTATAACCATTCGGGGACCACTAAGAATATGTGTAGAAATTTTCATGATGATAGGTTAAGTAGTTTTTGCGTCAAAGTGTAACAAACATCAGGACTTGCGCATTTATAATATTAGTAGGGATTAATATATAGTGAAATATTTGTTAAATATTTTTAATTAAAAGTGTTTTGAACTTGCTTTTTATGAAATAAAACAAATTAATTAATAAAAAATGTATTTTTCTGTTTTTACTTTCATAACCTCAGTTTTTCCACTGTTTTTAAAGACAAAAAGTGGTAATTTAAACACGGCTGTCCAATGCCGTGGGTAAAGTACTTTAGTCATGGGTTTTAGTCACGGCTTTTAGTCACGGGATGGAGTTTGCCATGCGCATTATCCTACGGTGCACCACAAGTTGCAAAAATAGCGTAAATAATATGTGGCATCATACTGCGCATGCGTAGAACTGTCCAATGCTATTTAAATACACTTTCCACTAATGGGCGGAGCAAATCGCACGTAAAAACACAAGAAACCCACAAATATCAATCGATTACTGTCAAATAACATGAATGAACTCATTTAATCCATACTAGAATATAATTAATCCATACAGAAGCGTATTCTTTTATTATTCAGCAAAGTCTCACGTTTTCCCAAGTTTTCGATAAAAAAAGAAAAACTTCCACCAATCGTGCGTGAACTGCGTTGAAGTATTAATGGATTACAGCCAGCTTCCAACACTCTATTCCTCCCTGTATTCTTGTAATAATTTTTCTTATTAATTTATTTCTTATTAATTAAAATAATAAATTAGATTTAACCCACATGCATTTTTCATCATATAAATTGTTATAATTAATATTACAGCACGATGATTACATTACATTATCCTTCGACTGGCAAGTATGCTAATGTTCGTAATTTTATTTAAGTGCATATATTAAATATTCTTGTCGGTTGAATTAATGAGCATGTTAATTAACTTCATCCTAAATTAATTATAGGCAACCACAACCACAACTGCATCAAACTATATCATATGTTTTGTGGTTTTATTAAAATCAATCAATCAATCAATTGAATAGTGTCAAGAAGTAAAAAGAAAAAAAAAAGAAAAAAAAAATTTAAAAAAAATTTAAAAAATGTCAAATTAGGTTATGTACGTTGACATAAATGAAATAACCTATAATATAACCTATTTTATTATGTCACGAAGAGAATTATATGAGTTTCTGTTATATTATTGACACAATTCTTAAATAAATATTAATTTTTACTAAAAACAAAAATATTTAAGTTTATTTTAGTAAAATTGCTAATTATTTGCGATATTTATAAGTTAAAGATAAACAATTTTGCACAAACAAATGAATAATTAGATAAGAAGTAATTCCTTATCTAAAATATCATTACCCAAGGAGTCATTATCGTGATTACAATTACCAGCATAGCAAAGCATGAATTTTTAACAATATCGCTTACAATTCCAATTCCATTGTGCGCTTGGCGTTGTGTTGTGGGTTTTACCCGTGACAAAATAATCGCGCATTGACACGTGTATCGAAACCGCAGATTGAGGCATTCGCTATCGCTGTGTGCGCGTGTTTAGTGACGCAGAACGCATCGTGAACTTTGATAAATAATCAACAGCCATTACTAACCTAACAATTACATCCACACATCCCACTTGAATCCCTACTATTATAAATGCGAAAGTCACAGTGTTTGTTACTCTTTCACGCAAAAAACTACTTAACCGATCATCATGAAAGATTTGTACACATATTCTTAGTGGTCCCCAGCGAAGATAGTTTATAGGCTATTTTTTTGTTTAATAAAAATAATTATTTTTTAAATAAAATAAAGAAATAGTTGTAATAATACCTCTGCATCTGGCTATTTGACTGCTTTAACGCCATCTAGCATTCCAGCAATGAAGCTCAAGCTAAGTACTATAGTATCATCACCTGTATTATCACACTGTATTTACCGACAGCTACGTCAACATCAAATCAATTGACTACACTTTTATGGAGACTGTACACACTATACTTCCATAGACTATACTCAGCCATTTAAACTTCCCGCCATTTCTACTTCATTGTTACTTCTTCTGTGACTACAAACGTGTGGGAAAACTTAACTTCATTATTTTAGATATTCGCGAGAGCGAAGCCAAAAGGTTAAAACTAGTACCTATATAAATGGTAAAGCATTCATGCGTTCAAGGTTGCATAATTGCATAACACAAATGATTGCCACAAGTATTTATAAGCAATTAACAATTAGTATAATGCAGTATTAAACAATAACTACGGAAAACAAAGTTAAAAATATTAAAATAAAATAAAATAAAATTTAACCAAAAACAAAATGGCGGTAAATTTATCATATTTGGGTTGTGTTTGATGTTTGGTGTGACACTGGCCCAAAATAGGGATCTCGTAAGTAGGATCACAGGATATGCGTGAATTTGTAATTCATTGTCATTTTCCAGCCGGTGGGATTAATTACTCACTTTGAATGAAGAATACGCATGCGGGAGCGCCTGCCAGACGACCTGCGCGAATCTAGGGCAGCCCTGTCCGATTATCAGTAATCGCTGCAATGATGCCTGCTACTGCAAGGAGGGATACGCACGGATCAGTGGTGATCAAAGCAAATGTATTCCGGTAGCCGATTGTCCACCCAGGGGGTAATACTTTCCTCAAAAAACATTTTTATTCATTTATAATCCTTGAATAAAAATAATAATAATAATAATACTTGTAAAATTACTAATTTCAATTTTTCTGGATAATTTATTCTTCACTTATTCTTGTTCGAGTGATAGTTTTCCAACTTTTGAATTAATAGAAGAATGAGGAAAACTTTCATGCAATTTAAACTTTTCCCAGAAACTTAACCTAACTTTATGTATGTGCCATTGACGCAACCTAACTTAATTCAATCTAACCTTAAATATGAAGTGCATGTAAGTATTGAACAAGCTGATATTTGATTAACACGACACTAGTCAACTGTAAGAGTCATCGACGCAAGGATAATACAGAAGCTGCAAAGGTACATTCCTTGCTGAATAACTTGGCGAATATCGAGAACGCCGCGGAAAATAAAATTACTCTTCTCTTCCTTTCGCACCAGTAGCAGTGTGTGTGTGCTTGGAGCGCAAGTCAACTGCCACAACGACCGCCCAATTCACGAATGGGAGAGGTGTAGGATACAAGGATGAGGAAGGATTCGGGCACCAGTGTGTCGTGATCCTTCGCGTCGTCAAGTCGCACATTTCTACTCGGAATATTTTATAATCTACGTAAATTAAAATAAAATAAAAATAAAATTTTTGATTTGAGATTAAATTAAATTATGAAAAACGTAATTGGTTTCTACGTTTGATAGTATTATTGATAACAATCGTAATAATTCCGATGTGATTTTTAGCAGAAAGGAATAGTTTTTGAATTGCGTCAACAAATAAGACGTTGAATGTGTTGATGCAAGTGGAATAATATGATTTGATTACGTGCATGGTCGTGGTGATTGTATATGTTGTGTATTTGTGGTTGCCTGCATTGGCAATGTCACTGTCTTCGTCAATCTCTTCCGGTCGTCGCCGGAAGTCGCGCATCAATTTCCTTATTATTCATCCTCACCGTCGCGGATCTTATTGTTACATTTATCATGATACCATTTTGAAGTAAGTGCGAAAAAATCAGTTACGTACGTTTCTCTTCATTTCCCGGTGTGTTTTCCGAAAATTTTGGTCAGACTAATGTTGATAGCCTTCACGTATAATTACTTCCTTTCAGGTTCATTAATCCTTCCGTTTTAATCCCATTAGCGATACCGAAACCACACGCTTTTGGTCCATCAAAAGGAGTGTATTATTAAAATGTTTTGTGTTTTTGATAAGATTGCATGGCGTATCACTGTGCAATGGTTGGCGGCAAACACTGCCTGCAAGATTCTCCCTTTTTTCCGTGCATTTGGCCCCTCACCTGAGCAGCAACGTGTTGGATCTGCATCTCCCCTGGACCGTTACTGCCGTGGTTCATCCGTTAATGATGACCAACAAAACGTAGTCGCAAATGATGCTCTACTGCGCTTGGTTGGCGTCAACTTTCTACGCCTCCCACAAGTACATGAATCAACACATTCACCTTAACTAATTACAACTAATGTGAAGTTGTGATGAACTTCTGTATTCGTGTTATATTCCTGACGTAGATTTTAATCTTCCACGTAAACTCATCCGCACTTCGCCAACTTCACGCAGCAGTGTCCCCTTCGAC